ACTGGATCGGATGCAAGAGTCTATCTCTCTGAACTCAGCCATGACGGGCAGCATCTCCTCCTCAACGACCTGGGCCGTGTTTGCATCGCCGGTAAGGTCGGACTTGTTTGCGCAAAGAACGACGGGGACATTGACGCCCAGAGACCGGAAGTAGGGCATCCAGAACAGGGCGACGCGCTCGTAGCTGTAATGGTCTGAGTAGACTAGGAGGATAACGTTGGATTTGCGTATCTCTTTGCGGAGCGTGGTCCTGTCCTGGGGGCGGGCCGAGGTGTCGACGATGGTAGTGGTAACATTTTCGGGACTGCCCGTAGTCGGCGGGAGGGTGATCTGTGGCAAAACTGGCTGGATCTTGTTGCTCACGAATGCGTCCTTTACTAAAGAGGCGATCAAGCTAGATTTGCCGGTCCCCTCGTCGCCGCAAACACAGATGCGCACTGTTAGGCACGAGGTGTCAGCTAAGTTCAACTACTTCAATGCTGCCCGAGTCGAGTGTCTGTGCCGTACCCGTGGCCATTTTGCTGGGTGTCGCTTGAAAGAGGTGACAGTCTTGGCTAGAGCGCTGCCATGACCCGTTACGTGCTGGTGTGCGAGGTCGCAGCTGATGGCGGGCTCGTGGACGCGGCGTCTGATCGATGGAATGACGAGAAGTCGATTCGTCGAGACTAAGAGCGTCACGCCACGATGTTGTCTGTTCGACTCCAAAATGGCACCAAAGGTTGGGAGGTGTTGTTGAACATGCTTGCTGCCCAGTTCCCGCTATTGATCTTTTCCGGGCCCTAGCTCCTGAGCCCCCCGCCTATTTTGGCGGTTGATGGCTTGCACGTTCCATCCAGTGGAGGCTCCCTCGTGGAACCTTGGAGGCTACTTCTCCCCACATTACGACCAGACTTATTATTCCACGAGCTTGGCGTCGAGCAATCTCTCTTCTGTGTCCAGGTTGGCATTGGCATTAAAATAAAACATATATATGGGATTTTCTCCGAATTGCGTTTATTTTATATTAAATGGGTGCTGGCTATATTAGGGCCTTTTTATCTTGACTGTTCCATGTTCAGGGATTTCCTCTCATGACTAGGTAGGTGTCAACAGGAATTGTCCAGGGTTTATGGGAATTTGAACCCAATTCCCTTAAAGTTGTACTCCTGCAGTAATTCATGGGGATATATTAACTAACGGGCAAACGGCTCCCAGCTTAAGACATGCTCAAATATTTGACTGCTCGCACTTTGAAGCAACGAGTCTCCAACCTCTTTTGCCTCCCTATATTCCGTACCAGTGACGATATGAGATTCAGAGACACCGCAAGGCAAGTAGTCAGCTGCATCGTGGATCGCGGCCCGCCCGGCTTCATCGGGTTTGCACATTCCCCCTCTCCAGCTGTTGGCTTGGACCATGCCTTGGGCTCTCTCCACTTCCCCACAACTTCAGGCGACTTTTAATCCAGCCGCGGCGGGGATATATCGTCCTTGACCTTCCCAATAAGCAGGATGCGACAAGACGGACCCCTGTGCCTGCCACTGTTAGTTTCCGGGTGGTATACTATAAGAGTCCCGGTGCTCCCTTGGTAAGGGCGGCACTGGCAAGTGCTGTGGCTCGGCCGCTTCTTCTTGTCCCAGATGATCGGACGGCTTATTTGCGCAACCATCACCAGCTTCAACTTTGGCCAATTTACCTTTCAAGTTTGCCGACCCAATGCTCCCATACCCATGCGCGCTTTCGTCTGCAAAACGTTCTGTACAGCCTTACAGTAATAAGCTGCCGAGCTGAGGAGGGCAAACGACCCTGTTAGGATCACGTTACCACATCCGGTCCAGCTGCGCAGAAAGCGCAATCATCCCACGCTTTTTCGTACTTGGCCAAGCAGTGCTAGGACCTACAGCACCTGAAGCCGCTATGTTGTAAGGAGGAACTTGGAGACCCAAATCGGGCAGGGGCGACGGCGTGGCCCGTGGCTGCCGCAATTCACTATTCACCCAGCCCAGTCCAGCCCCAAAGCAGCTCCGACAGGAGGCTGCTCTTTTCTTTCGGCGCGCACTCACAACGACCCCTTTCACTGGAACGAATGCTTAGCTGATTGACCACGTCCAATTTTGCACAGCGTCCTCCCCCCTCCGCCGAGGTATCCCACTGCAGCGGCATATAATGCTGCTGTTGGGTCGGGACAGGTTGCGCCTATGATCGAGACGAACAACATCCTCTCGAGTCCATCCGGGCCCGAATACCAGTTCCTTGTCGGCGAAGGTGAGCTCCAAAATTCGATGCGCCAACGGTCTGGTACTAAGAACCCTCGTTGCTAGGCCTTTATGTGCTGAAGGAGGATCTGCATCTTGCGACCCCTCCCCCTCACCCCTCCGAAGCCCCCGTCGTCAACCCGAATCCTCTAGCGACAACGCCCCAGCCTGCTACGGCCGGTTCTAAGCTCACGCTGGTTACTCTCGACGTGCGACCACTTCCTCCCGCCTTTTACAAGATCTCGTCACGGTCCAGCGGGCTCCAGCAGAGCATCCAGGAGCACCCCGACGAGAGCCAGTCCTCAACCGAGCCGCGGGAGAGCAGCAGTGATGGCGGTCGCATGAACTCCAGCGATGTGCCGCTCCTCTCACCGAATGTGCCTGCCTTTGGCGAGGGCAACATTCTCCTTGCGCCCCCAACCTCCAAGGACGCAAACAAGCGACGGAAGCCAAAGAACAACATGACCAAGAGCAACTCTTCCTTTATCTCGAGGGTTATTCTCAACGAGGGATTGAACAAACGGTTGCAGGACCGCCCGAACGATGGACTATTCGCCTTCGCCAACATAAACCGCGCCTTCCAGTGGCTGGATCTCTCATCCCCAACCAAGGTCAGGGCAGGTCGCGCTGCTGGATCGCGCAAAGATGGCACTAACAGAATCACAGGCCGAGTACTTGACCAAGATACTGTTTACGAAGGCCCACTGTCTTTGCCACGACGTGAACTGGATAACCAAGAGCTCGTCTCACATTGATATAATAATGGGCTTCTCAACCGGTGAAATTATATGGTGGGAGCCCATTTCCCAACGATATACCCGTCTCAACAAAAATGTATGAGATCTTTCCTGGTTCTGAATTCGTTTGAGCATCGACCTACGTGCAAGCACGCGAGGCTTACTTTGGCGCCAAAATACAGGGTGCTATCAACGGAACACCAGTTTCTGAGATCAGATGGATACCGGGGTCTGAGCATCTGTTTATGGCCGCCCACATGGACGGATCCCTTGTCGTATACGACAAGGAGAAAGAGGATGCTATTTTTTCGGCTGAAGAAGAAGCAGCAGCGGGAGGCGGAGTGCCACAGCAGACAAATGGAGAGTCGGTCAACGACGGCAGCACCACTGGCAGCAATTCTAATCACTCTTGTCGAATGCAGGTCAACAAATCGGTTCACTCTAAGAATCAAAAGACCAACCCGGTCGCCGTGTGGAAGCTTTCTAATCAGCGGATAAACGCATTTGCGTTTTCACCCGATCACCGACATTTAGCAGTGGTCTCCGAGGATGGCTCGCTGAGAATGATCGACTACTTGAAAGAGGAGTAAGAACAACGGCCCCTTGTGTTCTAAGTGAAGGTTTCTGCTCACCACTTGACTCTCATTAGATTTCTCGACCTATTTTATTCCTACTATGGCGGATTAATATGCGTCTGCTGGTCACCCGACGGCAAGTACGTTCTGACCGGCGGTCAGGATGATCTGATATCAATCTGGTGTCCGTCCGAGTCCGCCCTTATTGCCCGCTGCCAGGGCCACCACTCGTGGGTGACATCGGTAGCCTTTGACCCTTGGCGCTGCGACGACAAAAACTATCGCTTTGGGAGCGTTGGAGAGGACAGGAGAATCTGTCTCTGGGATTTCAGCGTTGGCATGCTGCACCGGCCTAAGGCTGTATGTCTTAATTGGTGTATGGGTATTTTTTGCGTTGCTAACCATAGTAAATATAGGCCTCGGTACATCACCATCAGAGGGGCAGCTCTGTATCCTCACGCTTAGCCTCCATGCAGCGGGCCGACAGCGGGGAATCTGCAGATAAGGAGAAGATATTACCACATCCTGTGGAACCACGGTCGAGGACGGCGATGCTTCCGCCTGTATTAGTAAGCCCAGCCTCTTCTTTTTGCTGTCTCGGTCTTTGATGAAGCGCTAACGCTATCGCAGAGTAAAACGATTGACGAGGATCCGCTATGCTGGATTGACTTCACACAGGACGCCATTCTCACAAGTTGTAAATCTGGTAAGTTTTCGGCAAGGATTCTTTGTGGTGAAGTGATGTTAACATATATACTAGGTCATATTAGGACATGGAGTCGCCCATCTGACGTGTCGCCGCAAGGGGGCGAAGATGGCGATAGCCGGTAGGTTTGTTATGATCACCTGCTGGTTTGTCAAGGAGCGAAAAATGCAGAGCCGGCCCAAAGCGATTCAGGCCGTCTACATGGACGTCATGTCTGGTTTGTTATTTACAAATAATTGGAAATCGAATTCAGAATGTGACCAACCGCTATGCCCAATACACTTCACACATCCAGGAATACGCCTGTAAAAGGGGTTCAGACAAAGAGCTATATAATTTCCACTGCGTGAAATGCGAGTGAGTTGTTATGTATCAGCTTCGTTGGGGTGAAACGACGCTGTTTAGATCTGAGGGCACTTCTTTTTAAAAAATAAAAATAAAATAAAATAAAAAATGGTTATGCTATGTGTAATTAAAAGCGTGGAGTAGTATGCGAAGGACTTGGTACTGGAGTTTGTGAATGAAAGCGGAATGTAAGATACCGTCAGTTTAACTATCGCAATCATCGAGGTCTTGAGATTTGGAAAGGCAACAACAAAGACCCAGTAATTAGAAGGTAAGGCCCTTCGTTTCTCGGATTCGGCGCTCCATACTTCGCAAGCTATGAGTAAAAGAAAGTAGAGTGGGGTTGCGTAACGTAGGTCATGAGAGAAAATCCCAGCACCGCTTGTCATCCAATCATACAAAAGCATCAATGGTCTAGTGGTTAGGATTCAATCCTTCCAAGATTGAGGGGGGGGTTCGATTCCCTCTTGATGCAGCAGGGGTTTTTTTTTTGGGAAACTTTATAACATCGTTTTTTCCCCCTCCCTTCCAACTTTGTGTCCAAACGTCACCTGGATGCTTTCGTTTTGTATTATCAAGTTAGGGTCAATTCTTCACTCCTAGTCGTGTCTTATGGAGTTGGTCTTTGCTTTTTTTCGAACAGCACGTTATCTACCTTTGTGAACGGCCTTATGACCCAAATTGTACATAAGAGCCGTTGAAAACATAGAGGGGTGATGTCATTAGCATAGTGCTTCACAAGCACTGATGCATGCCGGCAAAGCAAGCTTTAGCTTCTTCCTTCACAGGCCAAACCCACTATGTACTGTACATTGCACCCAGCTAGCTCCGGCGGATCGACGGCTCCGCGCCTGTCTCACAGGCCCCGTGTGCCAATGTCCAGAATAATATACCTTGGCTACATACACCGATACGGCGGTGGTCAGGTATGTGGGTTTGAAAGCTAGAGGAATTGTTACTTTGGATGATCATTTGACTCCGCGCAGCTTGACAGTGTGGCAGCTACCATTTGTTTAGGAGGGAACGCCTCGCCTTAACAGAGGGAGATCGTTGAATAAGTGTAAGAAATGAAGAGAGAGGTGATGAAGTCGTGCTTGAATTCTTTGCGCCAAACAATTTAAAAAGGAAATCTCAACCCCCTCAAAAACATGATCAAACATCGCTACCTGCCGCTGCCAGTTAGATCAGTACCTAGGTAGCTGTTATATGGAGTACCAGTAGCTGAGGCACGACTCGTCAAACCCTACCTCGTTTCATGTTTGGTGTGTGCGGGTGTACGATGTTGATGTTGATGTCCACATTCTCGGACCTATGAGCGGCTAACAAATTCCTCTCATCACAAACGTGCATACTCTGGGAGCGGTTTCTTGGTTTTCAGAGCCATTGCAAATTAGTCTGCATACAAACGGGGTGGGAGAGCCACAATGGAACCTAACTTCATACTATCTTTTTGTTGGCATTCATCATCGTACGTCTGGTCTGCTCATGTCTCCAGTGGGATTAGACATGGGTCATTACGAGATTAATAAGTCTCCAACACGGGCGGCGATAGTCGGTGTACGGATTATTCAGGAACAGGGACGTTCGACATGCCGTCAACAGATGCAGTCCGGGCGATTCCAAGGTTTGCCCGCGCTTCGTGCCTTTCTTGTTACTCGCTTGCCCCGAGTCCTGGCAGCGGAAAGTCTAATCTCGCGGTTTAGCCATTGGTATCTTTTCCAGGATAGTGTGTGGGAGCTAGCCTAGGCTGCTGCGGCAACAAAACAGCCAAGGCGGGAGAAACGAATTCCCACAAGAGAACTCTCGTAAGGCTGATGAGTGAGGCCTCGGCCGAAACTTACAATATCCCTGGACTTCCCGTCTTGGTGGAGCCAAGTGGGAATTCGAGTGGGCAGACTGTGGCGTGTTTAATTTTCACCTAACTCGTCGTCTCCAATGCATGTGTTGAACACGATGTCGCAAGATGTAACTCCATAAGGGAGAGGCCGTGAGAGTGAGTCAAGCGGCCGATTATGAGTCTTGTAGAGAAGAAAAAACCTGCACTGTGAAAATGCAGGTTCCAGTGGGTTTGCCGTCGTGAAGAGCTCATCACCACTCTCTATGCTTGTAAGGTGTGGGCGGTGAGTTGACCAATGGGAGTGTTGAGGCGGACCACCGATGCTCGGAGTGTCAAGCAACCTTGCTTTGTGCTTGGTTTCGGTGGGTTTCGTATCTTCTAGCTGAGCTTGTATTTTCACCATGGAATTCGGTGATACTATGGAAGAAGGCGATGTATCGTTGTAAGCGAGGCAAATCAAATGGCGGTGTCCATTGTTTTGATCAAACGACTTCTCCAACTTGTTGAGCTCCAAAGCGCCTCGGCTTGTCAAGAGGCTTTCTGTCAATCAGCGGCTTCCGTCTCGGCATCGATCGGCGATCTTCAGCCGAGCTGCCAGGCTTGCCCTGCACAACAAGGGAGCCAACCGCGACGAGTGGGGCTGTGGGACCCTGCCGCCGCAAAGCCTGCCAAGCGCTCTTGAGTCTCGAATCAAAAAAGGGTGGACCTTTCTGATTGAGTTGGTGAAGGGGGGCGGTGATCCCAGCATCTGAGCGGATTTAATATCTACACGTGTAAAGTGTCTCCTCATTTAGCCATGGAAACGTTGTGGGCAAGGCTGGCGAGGTGGTGGCGGTTGACCTCATCTGCCTCCCTCGCTTGTCTCGCGTCCATGGAGGATGATGAATGGCAGCAAGGCGAGCGTCGCATTTCTCACCGAGGCGCTGGCCAGCAGACAACCTCAGTTCAGACTAGCTGTTTTGCGTCAGTAACTCCAAGGCACAGTTGGGCAGCCACCTTCTGTCTTCGTTGGCAGCACGGCACCAGTTGTATGCGGCCCCATGGCGTGTCGAGTGTCGATGAAAGGAAGCGTGATATGTGAAGCCGCTGATAGCGCTCCGTTGTATGATCATGAGGATTGATGTTGGTGAGCGTCAGTTGCCACGCAAAGCCACCGCATGACGGTGAAACCGAAAGTCGGAAATCTGGACGCGGCCACCCATTTCCCGCTTGCCAATTTAGGCAGCCTTCTAGACCCGTCGGTGTGGGGGTAATCTCAGTGGTGGCTGAAGATCAGCGCCAAGGGCTGTGAAAGGAGCCCTTTGTTTGGACCTGGAAACGCACCAACGTTTTGGGGCAGCTGAGCATCCTGCTGCAACCACTCAAACTGTGCAATTCATTATGCTGGAGGCGTGAGGTTGGATTGCTCTCTGCTAGGAACCACGTGGACGATTTAGTGTGTATTAAGTCTCACTTGAACCTCTCAATTAGGTACGTGTGGTGACAAGCCGTTACGACGCCGTATATGTGCACCGAGCACTATCTTCTCCGGTTGCGATGCTGAGCCTCTCGGATCCAAAGACGGTGAACTAAACCCCGCGGATGCGCGCCCACTCCTGAGCAGGCGGCGGCACCGAAACGGCACCTCCTTCCTGCGATGAAAGCAGAAAACGGGCACCTTCCGATTTTTTCTCTGGCTTCCCACTTTAAACCCACTATTATGATGGTCGTGACCGCTGCCCGCTATCGCGCGATCCATGTTGCCCGAGATAAGATACCGGCAGCATCGACATTCACTACAAAGCTTGCGTGTCTGAGGTATTCTCATTCAGTGTATCTCGCCCGTGGACATTGGGTGACTGGCTAGATTGCCCGTTTCGCTGTATTTGACTGGAGCGAGTACGTACCTGAGGTACTGTGAGAGCGGTACATGCCTGGCGTCCCTGCCCTATAGGCTTGGGCCGTTTGCGTCAGTCTGAGTCGTGCTGCTGCACCTATTAATGGATTGAGTTCTGGGCTGAACCAATTGTTCCGCCTGCCGGTCTGGAAGTACCTTGAGAGGTACCTTATTGAACATGCATGAGCTGGGTTGCTCGCTTACTGCTGACTTTTGGAACTTGCATGGTCCCCTGGGCTGATCGGCGCCGCGCTACTCAGGTACTGCAGTGTCTTCGCACGTACTCTGGAATTTTGTCGTGCGACAGCGGTACCTGACCTCACCGGGGCTGTCCCAAAATTCCCAACTCATCCGTCCGTCCTCTGACTCCCTGCTTCTTTCACTTTCGAAAACTTCGCCCGCAATGCTGTCATTTCCTCTTCTGCTCCTACTTTGCAGACCTACCAAACATCCTGCGCTCGATCTCGCACCTCGTCGATAACTTTTCCGCCCCTCGCTCCTCCTACGCAAAGGAACCTAGCTCGCTCACACCAGGATCGCCAACCGGTGTCTTACGTGCCGCTCGTCCAAGCAGCCCAGCCCCAACCTACCCACATCCCTACATATGATTAACAGACACGCTGGGTAGATGACAGGAATAGATCAGTATCACTACTCGGGCTTCCCCGCGTCTATTCTCTTGCAACGGTAGAGCATCTTTTCTCCTGCTCTGACCTGTTTGGCAATGCCTTCCTTCAACCCATTCACCTCCGTGACCGGGAGACATTCGTTCACCCTCTTCGAGATCCGGTAAGTCAAGCTTTTCGCATCTGGCACTTGCGCCCAATGTCAGCAGATTTCCTAATGCATATAGCAGACTTGAAAATGACTTCATCGTTTTCCGCGGCAACGAGCACGAGTCGTCCGGCCAGCTGTTGAAAGGCACCGTCGTCTTGTGCCTGCCGGCCCCCCTGAAAATCGAGGATGTTCATCTGAGGTTAACGGGAACACTGCATTACGGGTAAGAAGTCGATCTTTGGTACTACTTCAAAGTCGGAATGCTGACCGAGATCGCTAGCTGGACCGACACCAAAGTGACGCCCACCGGAATATCAAACCAGAAAGTCGACAAGACTTCCAATTTTTTCAATTATCGATGGCCCCAATTCGTCGGGGGCAACAACAAGGGCGTTACACTGCCGGCCGGGAACTACGAATGGCCTTTCGAGCTGATGCTCGCGGGAAACACCACCGAAAGCGTCGAGGGCATGCGTGAGGCGAGTATCACGTACAAGCTGAAGGCGACGGTCGCGCGGGGGAAGCTGGCCTACGATTTTCACACGTACAAGCGACTGCGTATCATCCGCACTCTCGAATCATCGGCCCTCGAGTTTCTGCATGCGATGAGCGTCGAAAACATATGGCCCAACAAGGTTGAGTACTCTATCATCGTACCCCAAAAGGCAGTTGTTTTTGGCAGCTCAATTCCCCTCGAAACCCGATTTACGCCTCTCTTGAAAGGCCTTGAGCTCGGTGACATTACTGTCAGGCTCTTCGAAGTTCACGATATTGTAACACCGTCTCACGCCGGCCACGCTGTTCGAGAGCATAAGAAGGAGAAAGAGATTGCATCGTGGACCATACCAGTCAACAGAGACGAGCACTGGCAGAACATGATCGAGGACACCGGCCAAGAAGGCTGGGTTATGAACACTGCTCTTGATCTGCCGAGGAAGTTGGGCAAATGCCTCCAGGATGTTAATGCGCAAGGGATTAAAGTTCG